CACACACACACACACACACACACACACACACACACACACAAACGTAATCTTAAAAAGTTCTGATCGTCCCTGGCCATGATATCTGAGCACTGAAGGACCAAGTTGGAGTAGTACCCACCCTGGCCACCCTGGTGTTGATGCTAAATGGATGATAAAACATGTTTTGTTGAGCCCTGGACTCCAGCCTGCTGCTGAATTTCGAAGGGAATGAATGCTATAATACTTGGAAACCAAGTGAACCACACTTACTTTTTTCAGCCAGAAAACAGTCGTCTCTCTAAGGAGGCAGTAGTCCCTGCCAAAAGAAAGGGCTGCTGACTCGGGGACCGAGCCTCAGTTCTGGTTTCACGAAACGCCTTCTGCCGTCTGTGGAGATTATTTCCTTGCAGTGTGTTACGTTCTCCTTGTCTCTGTGTCAGCTCGGCCAAGGAGCGAGCACACTAAGGTTGGGTAGCTTTCTGAGCCCCCTCTGCTGTGTTAGCTGCTGGGCAGGCAGTCTTGGCTGGAAATGTCAAACAAGGTGTCACAGGCCTCCATGGGATAGTCAGGGATTGGGTGATCTGGCTGCACACTCAGAAGATTCTCCACTTACCCCATCTCTTCTGGTATGTGAGAAATGTCCAGACAAGGAGCAGGGACCACTTTTCTGTTAGACCTCTAGGAAATGGGTCTGCAGGCCTGGCCTCTTGTCTGACTGACCACCTGTTCTCTCCTCCAGGCTGTCCTTTTCAGGGTCAAGAATAGTCGATTCTGAGTCCATGACATCAGGAAAGTCCCACCATGAAAGTGATGACCCTGCAGGGTAATGGTGGTGGCCATGGTTTGACACCTTCTCTTTATTGGCAGTTTCCTTTCTCATCCTGCTCATATTAGCTGGATATCTCCGTTTGTATGCCAACCACAAAGATGACATTTAGTTTTTGCATTTTGTCCCTGTTAATAGAGGTTGATGGAAGGTCAGGGGCAGCCGATGTTCTAAACTTCAGCCCAGAGCATCGGCCTCACGGGACAGTGTCCTCTTCTTTGTCCTTTCTTCTTCCAGCACCTCAGCTGCTCCTTCTGAAGGACCACCCATCACCCATTGCTTTGTCTCAGTTCACTTTTTCACAGTTTTCTAGCTCATGCTCACAACACACCAGTGGGGAAGGCATTGGTGCCAGGGTGGGGTGGGGTAGTGGGTTGAATATTGGAGTTGGGGTTAAAGCAAGACTGCTGTGAACCGAAGGTCCATGATGTCCAGCTGCTGTGAGGAGATTCTCATCATTTATTCAGATACCTTCTTTTTCATTTCTTGATTGCAGAAAGGATAGGTTATTATTTTTAAAAGTGACTGAAAAGTATCCAGAAGACATTAAAATCCCTCATAATGCTGTCTTGTAGAGGTAACCGCTGTTGATGCACTCTGTGGACAGACAGACCTCTGCTCCTGTCTTCCTTCTGCCTTACTTCTGTTGGTTGCCTAGGCTGTCTCTTGTGGGGGTGAGGTGGGGAAAATTATACATCTTGTGGTAGTTACGATTAAATGAGATGTTTCTGAAGCTCTCAGCCCACCTAGCGAATCGGTGTTAGGACCCTAGCCTGAGCTTTGCAATGTCCAAGTCACTGTTTTAAACTCATTGTGATTGCTGGATTATTGTACCATGTGAGTACATGTGGTCCCTTTGACTGCATTCTTTATTTGTACCATTTTCTAAATATCTTTCTTTCTGTCCCACTGGAGTGGGATATTTGGATTGTCTTCCTCTTTTTGACTATTGTAGATTGTTTTGGTGTTGGTAGAGTGAAGAGAGGACATGAGAACGGGGGGGACTTCATCTTTATCTGCAATATATTATTTCTTTTAAAAAAAACATGTAAAAGGAATCTAAGGCAAATGATAAGCCGTTAATATGTACTGGCTCTGATAGGTAAGTACATGGGGTCCGACCTTATTTTCTGAACTATTTGTGTGTGATGGTTGATTGACATGAGGATGACTGTCTTTGTATTTTACACAGAGATTTGTACATTTCCAGGGTGATTTCCTCAGCAGGAGATCTAAAGTGGCCATATCTGGTGTGACGTTCTCCCATTAGGTCCAAAGAAGGGTCAAGTATCTATTTGCAGCCTCTAATTTCCGTGTCATTTTAAAGTAATATTTGAAACAGGTAGAAGAATTGTATTTTGAAAATGACCATGAAGGTAATTACTTTTCTTGTGATATAATATCTGAGGAGAAGCAACTTCAGGACAGAGAGGTTGGTTTTGACTCTCTGTTTGAGGAGAGACAGTCCATCATGATGGGGAAAGCACCTTCTGTCAGGAAGCAGTATTAACAGTAAGTGGAGCTGGGGTCTAAAACCTAAAGACCCCCTCAGTTCCCCAGTGATTCTAGACTTCTTCTAGTAAGGCTCCACCTCTTAAAGGTTCCACATCCTTCCCAAACATTGCCATCAATTGTGACCCAAACACAAGGACCAATTGTGTCCTTTGGTGACATTTCATATCCAAACTAAAGCAGGTGCATTCTTGTTTTTGTTTTTGGTTTTTTTCCTTTGTGATTTGTCAGTGACCCTTAATGTTAAAGATATTAAACCCTGATTTGGACTAGTGGCAGGAAAGAATCCTTCCTGGTGAAGGATTCTTATGTGAAGTTAGTGTTGTAGGATGCAGACTTCCATTCGTTCTCTGCCACTGGTCTGTCTCTGCCTTCAGACCTGCAGTGGAAGTCTGGGCACATGGCCGAGAGCCTCACCAACATGCCGCGGCACTCACTCTACATCATCATCGGCGCCCTCTGTGTGGCCTTCGTGCTCATGCTCATCATCCTGATTGTGGGCATCTGCCGTATCAGCCGTATCGAGTACCAGGGCTCCTCCCGGCCCGCCTACGAGGAATTCTACAACTGCCGCAGCATTGACAGTGAGTTCAGCAATGCCATCGCATCCATCCGGCACGCCAGGTAAGTCCCGAGGGTCTGTGGTGAGGGAGACAGCCAGGTCCTGGGCCCCTGGAGCTCGGCAGTTAGATTAGACTGGCCAGCCAGCACACCTTAGGGATCTTTCTGCCTCTGCTTCCCTAGTGCTGGGATTACAGGTGTGTGCAGCCATGCCTGGACTTTTTCAGTGGGTTCTGGAATTGAACTTAGGTCCTGTTAGCAAGGCAAGTGTTTTACGAACCGAGTTATCCCTCAGCCTGACATTTTCTGTCTTGCTTTTGAAACTGTCGATATGAATATAGACCATCCTCTTGGATTTCGGGGCCTACGGAATGCATAGAGTTTGTGTTTTGGGATGCAGTGTCCTGTCCTGGAGGACAGTCAGGAGTTGGTGTGGTATAGGAAGAGCCCAGCACAGTATGATTGGAAACCTCAGTATCCTGTTCCCAGACTATATTCCATCCGATCGCTCAACCATCTGCAAACACAGTTCCCTCCACGCCCCTCTTTAAAGAACACGGCTGTTGCTAGATTACAGATACTAAGTTATTCTGTAAATAGATGATTGCACGCTTCTCCCAGATCTCTGTATGGTGCTGAGAAGGTCAGCCAATAGCTCACTGACCTCGGTGAGGGATGTTCTTCCAAAATGAGTAGCAAAATTATTTCGTAAGAATTGATGAACGATCTGAAACATACAGTTCAGAAAGTCATTGTACTGAGTTTAGTTTTTTTAAACTAGAGAGAAATTTTAGGCTGTATTCGTGTGTGTGTGTGTGTGCGCGCGTGTGTGTGTGTGTGTGTGTGTGTATGCATGCGTGTCTGTCCCTGTGTGAAGATGCACATGAGAAGGTGTTGTGTCCCCTGAAACCAGAGTTACAGGTAATTTTGAGCTGTCTGACATGTGCACTAGGAAGCAGATTCCAGTTCTGTGCAAGAGCAGCCAAGGGTTTTTAACCACGGAGACATCTCCTGCTCCCAGAGGTTGGTATGGAGAGTGGGGCCTGTGGAAACTGTCAGCAGTATAATTTGTATTAGTGTGATATATCAGAAGACTCAAGCAGGCCTCAAATCTGAAGAGTAGCAGCAGAAGAGGTTTGGAATCTTCCTTCTTCAAAGGAAAGTTCCCAAATCCAAGTTTCCCGCTTTACTGTGAATTTGGTGCATCAGAAACAGGAATAGAGCCTCGGAAAGGAGCCAGAGACATGACTTTAGATGACTTGGAGCACCTGTCTCAATGCCTCAGTGGGAGCTGCTTTGTGGAACGCTTGTGGCCCTTAGGAAGAGAACTAGTGGACTCAGGACTATCTCAATAGCTGCTTATCTGGATGCTTCCACTCAGGGTCAGCTCAGGCAATCCAGCTTCCAGGAAGCCCGGGGCCAGTCCACACAACCCCCCACCTGATTGTTTATTTGAGTCTCTCTTTTCAGTTCAGTCTCCCCAACAGGTCCTGGCACCTAGCAAATGTCACTAGAATCTGAGGTCTGACATGAACGGTGATCTCCTTTTGTGCTGGCAGAGGATGCTTTGTCTTATCTGCACCCCTGAGTATTAGCTCAGGACGTGGTCCCAGCCAACAGAACTAGTTCCAGTATCCTAGATCGCTGGGCTAGAGGCAGAGGGTACAAAAAGGATGGGAACTGACAGGTTTCCTTGGTGTTGAAGCCTCTCTCTCCTGTGTTCCCAGAGTCCTTAGCTCATAGAAAGAAGCAAGAGCTGTAGCTTTATACTTGGATGTGTGGGAGACCCAGAAATAAGATTCTACCTATCCCAGACGAATCTTCAATCCTCCCAAATGCAGGAATATGGCATTTCAGGCCCCAGTCATCTAAAAGGGATGCTCTGTTGCACAATGTCTACACAGCCCTCAGGCGAGATAGCTGAATACTCAGGCAGGAAAGTAGAGACATGATAGCATTAGCAAACCTGATTCTTATTCATTGCCCATCTTTATTGAAATGCATAGGGCATAACCCCAGCCAGCCAACGCCAGTGTTCCCCAGTAGGTCCAGATGGAACAGTCCTTAGGAAAGCTGTACCTTCCATTCATGGTAATTTCTCGCCTGAAGGTTCTGCATGACGGGCCCATCTGCAGTCTGCTCTGAAGAGCCAGACCTCTGAGAAACTGGCCGCCTTTGCTCTCAATTCCTGGAAACTCTAGGAAGAGTTGGCAAAACTTTGTCCCTTTGGTGTGTGCTTCTCTCTAGTTTCCAAACATTGCCTATAGCGAATGCCCATTTCATGGGCTGCTTCCTGGCTGCTAGCCTGGACGTGATCCTGAGCTGGAATGACCACAGCCCACTGGGCACAGAAGCTACATTCCAAGTGGGTCACCGGAGATGTCCATAAGGGACCAAAGAAACATCTGGTGCCCCTGATGTCAGTCATCAGCTGGAATGAGAAAGCATCCCCTCTCCTTTGTCCCAAGAGCCATCTGCCCCATGGCTGCTTTGCTTACACCCAGGTGACAGAGCAATGATCAGCAGGAGATCCAGGGCTCTTCACACCCTGACGGCGGTGAGCCAGCAGAACACAGGAAAAGGAGAACAGAAAAACACATTCTCCTGTCCTCAAATAACGGGAGCCTTCAGATTCGGGCCTTGCTTATGATCAGAGCCACCCGACATTCTTTATGGTGTTGCTTTTACTGCTTTCCGGAGAATTTGAGATGGAAGAATGTGCTCCTTCTTCTGCCTTATTTACGACTGGCGGTAACAGCCCTCGTTCCTTCAGAGAACAAGTTAGGCTCATAGGACTTGTTACCAAATGTGATGTTTAAGATGCTGGTGTGATATTGATAGTACTTGTTCTGAGACCAATTAGGGTGGCCTACCCGTAGCCCATTGGCGATATATGGCTCAGGATAGCTGTAAATGTAGCTCAACACAAAACTGTAAACTTAATTAAAACACTTAATATATATGTAATATTCATAAATATCTTTTTGTTGGGTTGTTTTGGTAAACTATATGAACGTTGATAACTGTGTAGTAAAGAGAAGCAAAAATAGAGTACCTCTCTGGAGTGCCTCTGGAGTGGGCAGTATTTAGAGAGCATATATGCCCAGCCCAGTCCAGAGAAAAAAAAGAAGATATGAAAGGTGGTTAGCGTTTGAGCATGACTGTTAATGGGCATTCGTTTGCCACCTTGATGGGTGTAGGAGAGTCAAGGAAAGCCTTGTCTCAGCTAGTGGGTACTTAAGAACCTTAGTGTCTGTATCACACAAACTGTTTTAGCTACCACATGGCAGATTCTGCACTTGGGACTGAACACTTTGTAGCTCAATCCAGGAAACAGAGTTCATACTACTTAGGGAATTGAAGTACAGGGATGGCAGCTCCTATTCCACAGGTCCACTCTTCTTAGGTGTGCTAGTCTGGCTTCAACCAGCTTTTTCGCCAGCATCATACGTTCTGACCCGGGCAGATGATTTTTCTGGCAGCGTGCCACATAAGCAATTGAATGAGTCTGGACACAAGGCAAAGTGTTCTGTGAGCTGATCCTCTTTGTACACGTGCAAGCAAGTGGGTCTAGTTTTGGGCTGTCATGCTTGGTAGATGTGCCAATACTCCTTCTCAGACTTTGCTTATCAGTCTTCAGCTCCAGGGTGAAGCTCAAGTTTATAGTCTTTTGATTTACTTTTGATACATGGCACAAAACAGAGACATCTAATTTTCCTGGTTTTAAGAAGGCAGATTCTTTTTCAAGCTGGAACTATGTAACAAGTGGCTTTAAAAAGGCTATTGAGTCTGTTGAGTTGTTCACATTGTTTTTTCCTTTGGCCAAACGGTTGGTTAATTGAGCCAGCTAATACGTAGGATTCATTCTCCCATCAAAGTCCCCACAGGAGAGTGTGCCAGGGCCACCAGGCTAGGGCAGAGGAAGCCCTCTGTTGTTAGCTTTTCTTCCAAATCATCACTGTTATTACAAAGGCAACTAGCTATTTCATAAGGATTTGTCAACACTTTCTACCTTAGAGTAGCCTCTCTTGGGAAGAAGTATAGAATTCAACAAGGTTTTTAGTCCGGCCAGTTTTCCAGGATTGCGTGGGTATCATCTAGACAGATTAGCAGGCCAAATGCTGAGGTCCAACCCCTCTTCAATGCCAACACACTTTTGTGGGTGTTTAATAAGGTCTTGCAATTTAGAAATGGTTCTTTTTAGGGCCTTTTAAACATTGCAGTGGGTCACTGTGGGCAGATGGGAGCAGAGGTTCCTGTGTGTTTTGCATGGTGCCCCTGTGGCATGGTCATGCCTTTGTGTTCCTGAAGGCCAGTCAATCTCCGGTGAATTGGAAGGCAACTAATGAAAGTTTAGAAAAATCAAAGACCATCCCAGGCATGGTGTAAACTCACACCTGGAATCCTAGGACGTGAGAGGATGAAGCAGTGGGATTACCATGAGTTTGAGGGAAGCCTGGACCATCTAGTAAATTCCAGACCGTCTAGGCTACAGAGTGAGACCCTGTCTCAAACTGGCTTCCCATGCCCAAGTCAGAGCTCACCCGAAGAGGCTCTCTCCTCTCATTCACCCCTTGATCCTATTTCTGACCTTTGTGTGAGAGAAAGCAGATGTTCAAAAGGTAGGAGAGAGAGGAGAAAGGAAAGAGGAGAGAGAGAGGAGAGAAAAAGAGGAGAGGAGAGGAAGAGATTAGAGGGAGGGGAGTCATGGTAACTAAGCCCCTCTGGTTCCTTCAGGGGGGCATCTTAATCTTTTCAGAATTTAAGGTGGTTGGTTTTTAAATCTCTTTTTAATGAACCCTGTTGAATGTAAAGTAATTTTTTTTAAAAGTCATATTTTAGAAGAAACAATGGTAGATTTCCATGGAGACTTTGAATTTGTGTTTTACTCCAGAGACTTTGGGGAAAGTGAGGTCTCCAATGGGAGGAGACCACCCAGAAGTTGAACTCGCCATGTTTTAATAATTGCTCTCTAATACTGGCTTGGCAGAAAGTCTTGCACTTGGAGTCTTGACTCCGATGGCTTCTGGCCATCAGTCCTGCCACTGAGGAGACTTTGATATGCAATAGATTTTTTGGGACAATAGGTTGGTGTTCAGAGAAAAAGGATGCGCCTGGGGGCTGAGAGAACTAAAGGGTCGGATTTGAGTAGGAACATTTGTGGACAAATACCTCCACGTTTTAGGCGTTTTAGGTCATTTCTTCATGCTGTGCTTTTTGTGTTGGGGATCTCAGCCAATCTCAGAGCCTTTCCACGGGGGCGGGGGGGGGAGAAACTATCTGAGTGCTACCTGGGGACCAATGCCCACCGTTGTGTATGCTAGTCATGAGAGTGGATGTAAAACAAGACTGTCTCTCCAGATATTCATGGGTCTTGAAGAAAAGGAGAAATCGATACATGCTTTCTTAAATCTGTCTCGGAGCTGCCCTGCCTGCCTGATTCACCAAGATTTAACCAGGCTGCTTTATCGTTAATCCAGTTTGCCTCCTGAACTAAAGACTAATGTTTTCTCCCCTTCAGTGCTAATATCAGGATGCCTCAAATTTTTATACATGCTGAAGAATATACTTTGGAATATTTTTATAGTTCTATTCATTTCTTGAATGTTATTCTTGTATGTATGCAGTTATGTGAGTATATATATATATATATATATGCGCGCGTGTATGAGTGTGTGTGTTATGTGTAGGTATATGTGTTTATACATGTGTATGTGTGTATATGTGTGTTACATGTAGGTGTGTGAGTGTAAGTGTGTATGTTTTGTATGTAGGTTATGCATGTATGTGTGGGGGGTACAGAGGTTCATGTATTGCTATTTTCTTGGTTGTTCTGCCTCCCAATTTTTGGTAGTTTGTTTCACTAAACTGAAGGCTCATCTCATGATGCCAGTCGGCTAGGCTGGGTGGCCAGTGAGACCCGGCATCTTCCTGTTCTCCTCCTGCCTCCAGCACTGGGTTACCCCAGCATCCATGTCTCGGGCTTTACATGGGTGCTGGGGTGGGGTGTCAGGTTTAGGCCCTCATGTGTATGTAGTAGGCACTTGATGGAAGTTAGTCTTAGCGCTCAACTTTAATAGAAACCGAGCTCCAGCACTAATGTGACATTTTCTCTTTCTGTGATTTCAGGTTTGGGAAGAAATCTCGGCCTGCGATGTATGATGTGACCCCTATTGCCTATGAGGATTACAGCCCTGACGATAAACCCTTGGTCACACTGATTAAGACGAAAGATTTGTAATCTTTTTTTTTTGGATTATTTTTCAAAAAAAATATGAGATACTAAGATCATTTAAATATTTTTAAGAAAATTAAAAAGCTTAAGAAATTTAAAACGTTAGCTGCTCAAGAGTTTTCAGTAGACTATCGAGGAACTAATTTTCTGCAGCTTTTAGTTTGGAAAAAAAAAAGTATTTTAAAAAGCCAGAATTTGTGAAATCCATAGACCATGTTTTAACGTACCTTCAGCTCTCAACACTGTATGCTTCGACTCGTGTGATCTCTCTTGACAGTAGGCCCCACCGCGAAACCCAGATGGACTTCTGTGGTTGCTACAGAGTAAAGTCTTACATAGGAAGAGTTTCTTTTGACGTGTGAGTGCCGGCTTTCTTAGTAGAATTAGGAAAATAAGTAGAGTATGATGCATAACCCAGTATAATCGTTACTTACTAAGACGTGGCGTCCGAGATGTTTGTTTTGTGGAAAAAAGAAAAAAAGAAAAGAAAAGAAAACTAGTTAAATTTATTCTTCCTAACCGGAATGAGATTAGCCTCTGCCGTATTCTGTGCATGAGTAAGTAACTTATTTTCTGCACTGTTTTGTTGAACTCTGAGGAAGCATTGTTCTTTCCAGTTTGTTTTAGTCATTTTTGTAACAGTCCTTGAACTTGACCTTGTAAACATAAATGAGGAAAGGATCTAGGGAGGCAAACACTGGTCAGTTTCAACCTAGAGTTTTTCTTTTAAGAGTCAAGTAGTTTTCTTTTTAATTGTGAGTGGAGTAAGTTATGTTGCGGGTGATTCTTGCTAGGAGGTAGTGTCATGTAAGAGGTGCTGGTCCCTTCTGTGGTGTTTCTCATAGTGCACCTTTATTTATACCCAAGACATCTTTGTGGCTGTATTTGATTGATATGTGCTTCTTATGATTATTGCTAATTTCAAAGACTATTGAATAAACGTTAGCAGGTCAAGGATCTACTTGTCTCATTATTTGAAAATCAACATAAAATGTTTCAGATTGGACACTGGCTGTCAACCCATCCAAGTGTTTATGACATTTAAAAAACACCTGAGCGACAACTTACAGTTTGACTGTGTCTCTGAGAGGTTCATGTGTTAAAGGCATGATCCCCAAGAATTGATATGTGACTTTTAAGAGGGTGGGGCCTGGGGATTGGGAGCTGCCTTTGAAAAGGACTGAGGTAGTTCTCGTGAGGGCCCGTTATGAGACAGCTCACATCCTGAGTGTCTTTCTGGCTTCCTTTATGACATAATAACTCCCACCATTGAGACACCATCCGCCATGATTCTCTCACAGAAGGTTACCCGATCTTGGAATTTGAGCCTTTAGAATTATGAAATTAAGAAAGGTCCCTTTTCTTTCTAAAATGAGCTCACATCAGACATTTTGTTTCAGAGCTAACAGCATCTCCATAGCCACCAGGGCCATTCCCTGCCCTCTGAGGGTCTTTATTACTTCCTGATGGACGGTGTTATTTGTCAACATGGAGAGGAGGACAAGAATCAGAGAAATTCTTGTATACAGCCATGAATCTACATTTGCTCAGGAGATACAGGTTGTGTCAATATTGAGGTACAAGGGATATGTACACTCATGATGGTCAGGTACCTTGGCCTCAAAGAATGTCTTTCCTACTGCTGTCCTTCGTAGATGACTGAAATTGCCCTGTGAACAGCCCTTCATCCTTAGAAACCTGAAGGCAGCTTAGAGTCTCTGTGTGCACCCAGTTTCACTTTTCTCCAAACCCTGCAGTGAAGTCCCACTATCATTTGGGGGACTGCATCTTTAGCTTCACATGGAACCAGTTGGTAAGACCAAAAGATGTCCGAAAATCAGGTGCGAGGGCGGGCATTAAAGAAAAGTAATTTCAGATGCTGCTCCATCCCGCTCAACCCTCAGAACATCTGTCCCTAATCTAACAAATGACATAGCAGTACACCTACACTGTGATTATTAAACAACACAGCACAATATGCTAACATTCTAAGTGTTTGGAAATAAAGTAAGAATAAAATGTTAACTCTATTAGTTACATAACTGCTGTAAACACCACGGAGTTGCTTCACATAAAGACACCTTAAAGAAGTCTTGATGGACAACAGGAGGGCCTGGCAATGTTGCTTCAGTGCTCCCTTTCTGTTGATTTCCCTCAGCACTCCTGGGCAGTATCCATTGGAGTGTGTGTCCTTTCAGGTCATTTGCGCCCTTTCTCATTTTTAAGACACACACACACACACACACACACACACACACACACACACACACACACTATCTCTCTCTCTCTCTCTCATTCTCGCTCTCTTTCTTTCTCCCTCTCCTCCTATGTGTGTGTGTGTGTGTGTGTGTGTGTGTATTGTGTACAGGTGTGTATCTGTGCATGTGGAGGCCTCAGAAAGAATCAGGTGTCCTGCTCTATCACCCCTACCCCCGCCATATCCTCTCCAAACAGGTTCTGGAGCTCACCAATGTTTTGGCCAGCTCGGCCAGCTTGTAAGCCCCAGGGATCCTTCTGCTAACCCCTCTTGCAGCCGCTGGCCTTATGGGAAAATAAGACCATACTTAGCTTTCACCTGGTTGCTGGGGATGCAAACACAGGCCCCCACGAAGAAGCGCTCTTACCCATGGCCTTTTCTCCTCAGCCACGATGGACACTCACCTCACCGAGCACTAGTTCTGGGTTGGGCACATACAAACAAACAAGAGCCACACCAAAGGATCCTAGCATATTTGCTTATTTTACACAAGGCCTTCACTGAGTAAGCAAATGCATATAGAATTACCCATCGAAAAACCTACTGGGGGGAAAATGAATCTTGATCTGTGGCAACATATTTATAGCAGAGTTCACTAGAAATCTGCTTTGATCATTTACTTGGTAATGGCCCTGGGCAAGTAACTGGGTCTGCTTAAGTGTCCCAAGTTGGAAAAGAAAGTTTGATAATGATAGGAGAGCAGATTGCATGTATGTTGTGTTCCCCACCTCCAGTATATGGGAAGCACTCAGCGTGTTTCTTGTTACTATGGTTGCTGATGTTCTTATTTTTAGATCCAGCTATTCTCACAAAGTAGGTTAATATATCCTTTCTGATGGTAAGTGCTTGTGACCTACAGTGTGTCCTAGTGAGTTCATAGCGCTATAGCAGGGAACATCCTCCCCAAGGTGTCAACTCCTCCACTCGCTGAAGGTGTCACTCTACTACCTGAGAAGCCAGCATTTGATGCTAAAGACTGACTGCACTCAGAACTGCAGGAGCTTGTGATGGGTTCTGACTTTGTGGACTTGAATCTCCGTGTTCTGTTAACCGGCTTCCACAGGCCTTTGCGGACAGACATAGCTATAGCCTGCATATGGTGCAGTTGTGTCTCCATAGGCGGTATGGAGAGACACAGCTATGGTCTGTAAATGGCGCAGCAGTGTCTCTAGCATTATTGGGGTTGGGCTTTTCTTTCTTTTTTAAAAAAATTACAATTTATTTATTTATTCACTTTACATCCTAGTTGTAGCCCCTTCCTCCTCTCCTCCTGGTCCCACTCTCCCTCCCTCTTTCCCCATCCCTCCGCTATCATTCAGAAAAGGGGAGTCCCCCAACCTACCCCAGCACATCAGGTCACATCAGGACTGAGTCCTCAGTGGCCTGGCAATGCAGCCCCACCAGCAGCAAGTAATCAAAAAGCATGCAACAGAGTCCTTGTCAGAGACAGCCACCAGTTCAGACACCGTCCCCCCTCTCCCCTTACGAGGGAACCCTCATGAAAACCAAACTGCCCATTGGGAATATGTGTGTAAGAGGCCTAGGTCTAAACCACGCATGGTCTTTGGTTGGTGCTTCAGTCTCCACAAGCCCCTGTGGGCCCAGATTAGTTAGCTATGTTGGTCTTACGGAGTTCCTGTCCCCTCCAGGCCCTTCTATCCTCCCCACCCCATTCTTCCAGAAGGCTCTCACACCCAATATTTGGCTGTGATTCTCAGCATCTGTTTCAATCCATTGCTGGGTGGAGCCTCTCAGGGATAGCTATGCTAGGCGCCTCTCTGCAAGAATTGCAGAGTATCATTAATAGTGATAGGGTTTGCCTCTCTCCCATAGAGTGGGTCTCAGGTTTGGGCAGGCATTGGTTGGACATTCCCTCAATCTCTGTACCATTTTTATCCCTGTACATCTTGTAGGCAGAGTAAATTTTGGGTCGAAGATTTTGTGGGTTGGTTGGTATTCCCTTTCCTCAACTATGAGTCCTTTCTGGTTAGAGGGTGGCCTGTCAGTCTCAATGATCCCCATAATGAGGGATCTCAGCTAGAGTCACCCCCATATCCTCCCAGGAGCCTACCCTGTCATAGATCTCCAGCTTGTCTCAGAGATGGCCCCACCCATAGTTTCTCTTCTCTCTGTAAGCTCTCTGTCTTCCCACCCACCCTCTCTCAACATCTAATCCCCACTCTCATTTCCTTCATCACTCTCTCTTTTATCCTGTTCCATCTCCTGAGCCACTTCCACTATCTATTCTGTTTCCTCTTCTGAGTGAGATTCAAACATCCTGGGGTGGGGTTTTCTAAGCTCTCCTATCTGGCAATGAAGTAGAAGTGTCACCCATTGGGAGGTTGCTTCCCAAGGTCCTCAGCATTTGGGTGCTGATTTCTTTGATATACCTGCAGTCTCTACTTAGCACAAGGAGGCTTAGAATCCCTGTCATCAGATCGCTAACCTTTACCTTTGTTGAGTAGTCATTCTAGCCTAGTGGCTTCTGTTTCATTCCATGAGGCTCTGTTTATAAATAGTAATTTGAATTATTTGTTCTGGCTACCTTCTCTACCAGAACTGGAAGTCTGGTTAGATCCATTTCTCAACTGATGTTTTTCATAGATTTAAAAAAATATAGGTATAAATACATTGAAATAATAATCTTTAATGAAAATAGATTTTACAGTTTATTAACAGGGAACATATATGAAAGACTATAGCAAGAAAAGATATTTGCTAAATGTAAGTTTTAAGTAGCTGCTCACAACCATTCTGTGATTCTGTGGACTGTCTTTATCCAGCTATGTCTTGTCCCCTCTTCCTAATGCTCCAGAGAACTAGCAATGCCAGGTACCATCTTTCTCAGCACCCTTTGCCCTCAGAGCTGAACGCATGGCTTTGGTGTTGGTCAGCGGGACCTTTAAGGGTATCTCCTGGGATTTCCTGAAAATCTTTCACTCCCCAAGGAGTGATGGGGCTACTAGCGAAGCCTTGGCTGTGTCTGAGTAAAAGGGACAGAAACGCTCTTCTGCTACTACTGAAAGGCCTTGGACCTTCCTGTTCATCAGAGTAGGAGCCATCATCCCTCGTATGACTACATGATACTCACCCTCAACCCCCTGCAAAACGAAGACTAGTAAAATCAGCTAATTTATACCAGGGGTTAGTCAACTCTGGATCCCATCCCCACTTCTTCTGAGGAAACTCTCAGCTGAGGTAATTTCTCAGGTCTTCCTTGCTTTTGGTGTTCTTAACAGTGCTGAGTAGTACTTGCCAAGTCCTGTGTATATTGCCCTTCTGTGTAGACTTGTTGGTGTTTGGATCACAACCCAACCAAGGTCAATGGTTTTGGGGAGGGGTACCACAGAGATCAAATGTAGGTTTCAGTTGTAGCTTATCAAGGGCACTCTTTGTCACCCTGGCTTACCTTCATTTCCTGCTGAAGTTGTGCTTGCCCAGCTTCTGCACCATAAAATCACTCTACTTCCCCTTCTTTTGCTTGTGCTCTTTGTCTGCACTGACCCCATTAAAGTAATGGAGAGTTATGTCTATTTCACTAAGGGCAATATCTCTAAAGATTATTTGAAATTCTTCTTGGGAGATTTATCTGTTCTCTCTTATCTGGCGATTTCGTTATACCAGTTTGCATTCACAGCTTTTAATATTTTGTAGTAATACTCCACCACTATCTTACTGACATTGAGACCTTCCAGTGGTC